AATAAATAAATAAAATACCACATGTACGACATGACTTGAGCTCAATGACCTCTCAAGAAAAAACAATAGGCTTCATGTGTCATTAACCACATGATGCCCTGAAAGTTTTCTATGGATGTAAGTTTATCAGATTTTTACAGAAGCGTAATGTTTTAATTTAAGAAGAAAAAATCTGCTCTGTTTTTCTGAATTACTCAGATTATTATCTCAGAATTCAGACATAGTGATTTTGTTTGTTCAGAAAAGTGAACGCATCAGGCTTCCGTAGATTTTAGATCTTTCCGTAGATTATTCCACGTCCAAAGTGCGTGATAAGAAGATGCACTTTTCCCCAGAAAGATAAAGATGATGTTTACTCAGAGAAATTCAGTGTCCTCTGTGTTTACACAATAAATCAAAAGCAATTACAACAAATCTCACATTGAATCTGGGAGGGGAGGGCTGAAAAAAACATAGGGGGGGGGGAGTAGAAGAAAGTTCAGACGGCTCTCTCTCCAGAAAACAAACAAACAAACAAACAAAGACGTAATTGTCCCCAGTAATTGCCGGACAGCCCCTTGGAATCAAAGAGTGTATTGAGTCTCCTCAATTGCCCAGAATGCAGTGCAGCTACAGTCAGGTTATAATGGCTGCACTGTATATACTGTTTGTATTATGGGATGTTACCTGCTGTACTTCTAACTAAGATTTCAGGTGCTGTAACTTTCAGTTTTACCTGAGAAGAAAGTGTTTGGGATAATTAGCTCAAAATGTTGGTTATCTTGTCAAGGGCTGGATTAAGGTGGGATTACCATTCATGCAAAGCAGGCATCTATCCCGGGGGGGGGGGTTGTACCCTGAGGCGACTGGGAACTTGTCATGAAGCAGCAGGTACAGATGCTGGATAATGGAGAAAACATGTGGGCTCACTATATGGCAAGTGTCAGCTCTTTGTTGCCCTTTTCATCTAATGTGTAAATGATTTATAAAGTGTCAACAAGATAATTAATAAACTAGTTATAAACCATTCATTATGAATCCTGTATCAGGGGAGTCTTATTGTGAAGTGGTACCAGATTGCTTTAGTTTATTAATGCTCCTCTGTGGTGTGGCCCTCAGTGGCCCTCAGCGGCCCCCAGTGGCCCCCAGCTCTGAGAGATAACTGATATGCAGATTAGTGTTGTTGTGATAAATGGATTGAAAGTTCACAATAGGCCAGACAGACTGAGCCACTAATTCCTTGTTTTCTCATCAGAGTCTTATCAAACACCTGAAGGGATGAAGCATGTCAACACACACACAATACACAACACACACACACACACACACACACACACACACACACACACACACACACACACACACTCCCCTCTCGCGCTGCCTTGTGGAAGCACTTGGCAGTGTCAGCGGCGCTGCAGGATGGACCCTGGAGGGTCTCTCTTGTTGACAGTACAGGATCAGAGTGAGGAGCTGCAGCTACAGGCGGAGCTGGATCAGATCTCCATCTGTTTGAACTCTCCTGGTGTCAGTTAGGAGCCTCACATTCCCCGCTCCTCTTCACTTTAATGCCTGAGAGCTCTAACCTCTCAGGCATTAAGGAGCTAAAAGATGCTGTTGTTAGCACATAAAGCTAAACTCCATCAGGCTTCAGTTTTCAGCTGAGGGAGGGATCAGGGCTCAGTCGCACCCAACACCTTAGACTTTCTACTGAAGTATGACACAGAACAAAGTCTCTTAAAAGGTTTCCTTAGGGAAGGTAAAAAGAAAAAGTTAAGAAATTAACAGCAATGAAAAAGATTTTACAGCAGTGCAATTCTACTGTTTCCATGGAGACTGCAGATTTGCTGCCATTAGCACTTGTGATACCTGATCTCTCATCCTCCCGTTGTTTTGACAGGAACTTCTCCACGGTGAATTTGAATTGGTCGCTATGGTTTTAGTGCAACAATTTAACTGACTCTAAGTGATTCCTGAAGTTTAACACTAAGATGAGGAGAAAACCTTAAATACTTAAGTGAACATTTTACGGAAACCTCAAGGAGAAGATTTTGTTTTTATTTTAAGGAAACCGTAACGGAAAATCTTAAGTCAAGGTGTTTCATGCAGCCGGCCCCAGACTTTCACACTCAGACACACTGATAAACATCTGGAGCCTCTGAACGCTCCACACATCTGCATGAGAGGCGTCGCTCTCTGGGACAAGTTCAACATTTATAAAATCAGCAACAGAAACAGAAACAGAAACTCAGCGTGCAAGTAAAAGAAAATGTGATCACAGCATCGTCTCACTCTGCTTTCTGCTGATTAGGAGCCGTATCAACACATGCAGATGAATGGCTGCTCTATCATAATGCCCCCCCCCCCCACCTCCTGCAGGAGGAGGAGGGAGGGGGGGCAGGGTAGGTGGGTTGGGGGTGGATCTAGTTAATTTTCTTTTATACATGTGGAGAATTTCTTCTGTTCAGTCAGATCAATAAACCATTTTAAGAGCCGATCGGATAAAAGCTGAAACACAATAAGTTGATGATGCATGGTGTTTTGCTGCGTTTCTATGGTAACAATAAATCAAACCTTTGAGTGACCTGATTTATATGTGAAGTCTATTGATATTGATTATTGATTCCATCATCATTTATAGTTGATTATGGCAGGTGGCAGGATGATCTATGAGTCTGTGGCAGTGATATCAGCTGTAACGTCAGTTTAAGGGTTTAGAGTTAAAGTGTTCACATCAGTTGTTCTGCTTTCAATCGATACACAATCAATACTGATGGACTGACTTATTGTTTTTTTACTCCATGACGACCACTCATAGAGACCATTAATATCTCCTATAACTTATTAACTTAAATCTTACGTCTCCCTCCTCTGCTGTGTGACTGCATGTATGTGTGTGTTTAGTTTTTAGTTGTTTATTTAGTTATTTATTTAATAGGGAAAATGCAATTTAACATAGCTGCAAAACAAAGTATGAAACTGAGAGAGTGTAGTGAGAACAGTGGGAGGATGTGTCTGTGTGGTTTTTATGCTGATGTGGAAACGTGTCAATAAAATCAATAACAAAAAAAAAAGGAGCTTTAACAAATTCAGAAAGATCAATCGACTCTTTGATATCGTTATTTTGGCAGCACCGGGAGTCCTCACTGACTAATCTATAACACGCTGAAGTCAGTGTGTCTCTGTCAGAGTGAAAGAATGAGCATCTCTCTCTTTTCATTTCAGTTTATTCGCCCATGAAAAGGGTTAAATTGCGGTTTACCTCCCTAAAGTGCCGGAGCATGATCCTCGTTTGCATGTGAAACCATGATCCGATTTATCATTAATAGAAGAGGTCATGTGGAGACTTGCTGCCGGCGCTGTTTGGTGTCGCATTGTCATGTAAATATATGGTATTGACATAAACTACTGAGTCTGGCTGCTGCGCTCAGGACTCCACAGATACTGGAGCCATGAATCTGTGTTTACCTGCTCAGGTGGAAAGCAGCAGGTGAAATCTGCTGTTTGATTAACAATAAATATAATGATGTTTAAATATCAATCAGTATTGATTTGTGCATTTGAGAAGTTTTAAAATACTGCAAAAAAAAATGTAAAAAAGTTTGGTTAAAAAAGTCACATTTTTATTTATTAATTCAACTGTTCATTTTATCTCTTTAAATTATGATCTAGATGTTTCAAAACCTTCTGTTCACTTTTTACAGGTATGAAACGCTAAATCCATTTTATTTTGATTTTCTTTGTTTTGTTTTTTTTGTTTAAAAACGTTTCAGAATTTGCCTCAAAACTCAATTTAACGACGCTGCTGATCCAAGTCTTTCTTTGTTCCTCAGGCCAAACCTTGTGCTCATATAGAGTGAATTAAAATCTCCTTTTTATCTGAGTATTATCAGTGTGTCTTCTGTTTCCTGTCCGTGTCATTGACCAAACACGTAACGTCCTCGCTGGCTGAGAGCAAACAGGAAGCATATGTAAATATATCTGTCCTATACTGGGATGATATATTTCTGATAAAGAGACAGCTTGAGAAGTGTCCACAGAAGCCTGAAGAATAAAGAGAGCATTCATTAAGGAACCTTCACAGTCTCATTATCGCAGCTCAAGTTGGAACAAGTCGAGCGCCTCGTGGCTCGAGCAGCTCAGAGATGGAGACAGACGTGTGGCCACGACACAAGCTGAAGAGACGTGCTGCAGCTTTCCTCTGAGAACGTCACGCGTGTTCTGTGTTTTATGTAACAACGAGCTTCTTGTGTCTGTTAAAGCTTTTGGTTTTGACATTTTGTTGGAAATAAAAAAGAGGATTTACCCAAAATGATTGATGCTTCACAAAATCTGTTCCCCTTCACCTGTGGTCGACCCGGCGTCTCCGCAGGTGAACTCTAATTCAGAGCAAGGCGTTGCATCACAGCTCAGTCCAGCTCCACGTGTTGATCAGTCTGTGAAAAGAAGGAGACCTGGCGTTAGACAACATGGAAGTTCAGTGTGTAGAGTGTGAACCTGCAGGACCAGATCCTGACGAACTTGACTGAGACCATGACTGAACAGAAAACCGACACCGACACAGCAGCTGTGAGTTCGGTTGTCATGACGCCACGCTCTGCTTTTTGCTAGGGCTGCACGATACGCAAAACAAAAACAAAATCATATTGCGATTATTTTGACAGATATTGCGATTATGACTTCAGTTTAAATTGTTTTTGCATTTTCATTTTCACAGAAAAAATATATTAAAAGGATGATGGTGGGATCTTTGTTGGCTCTTGTACCAAACAAACACGTTCCTTTACGTCTGGAGAATATGATTTGTAGGCAGAGGGGTCTGTAGCACCAGATTGCTAATGGTGCTAACGATGCACAACAATATTGTGTCACATTTCACCTTTATCAAACAAACTCCTGTGATTTGGATATTGCACTTGGCCATATTGTGGTTTCGATTAATTGAGCGGCTCGACTTTTTGCTTAGTAAATAAACATGAGAAACACTGTTGGTGAGTTCAACGTGTTTTTATTTAGTTCTGCAACAAGTTATGTGTATGAAAATAAATCTAAATAGTAAAAAAAAAAAAAAAACAGTAATCAATACAAAAATATCAGCTTTTCCATCCATTCAGCATTCATCATCTTCACTCCACCAAAGCACAAGCCAACAAGAGCACACTGAAAAGCAAAGGGGATCGTATTTACAGCGAGGAGACAGCGAGTCTCATCATAGCACATTGTAACACATCTCAGAGCTCATCTGCAAATCCCTCTTGAAATAGTTCTCCTCCCCGGGACAGGCGTAGGGATAGTCTGAGGGGTTGTAGTACGGAGTGAACTCGGGGGCAGAGTAGCTCTCCTGCTGCCCCGGCCAACAGTGGGGCAGGCAGTAACAGTCCTGGAGGGTGCAGTGTTGGTAGTGGTAGTGCTCTGAGGGGAAGCCGTGGTAGCTGGACTCCATCCTGGTGGGCGAGTCGTAGCAGGAGGAGGAGGAGGAGGAGAAAGAGTCCTGCGGCGAGTAGCTGTTGTGATCCACGGGGCTGCAGAGCTTCAGCAACTCTGGCGAGGAGCAGGGAGCCTGGGAGAGAAGAAGAAGAAGAAGAAGAGGAAGAAGAGGAAGAAGAAGAAGACATGGAGGATTAATTTTTTTGGTGTCATGTGATGGACATCAAACTGACACTACAGGCTCAGCAGGGACGCCTGTGAGTGGTGTTTTTGTTTCAGCTTTCAATGTGAATTCTGCTTTTATTAAATAACAACGCTCCTCCACTGAAGTGTGTACGACTAAACTGACTTTATTTAAACTTATGCAGCTTTTCTGTTGCCTGTTATTCTCCTTTAATCACAAACAAATCAAACTTTAGCCGGGCTGCTCTAAATGTACCTGTAGGCCACATAAATATACAATAATCACATTACATGTCGAGTTCAAGACGTGACAAGTCTCTGCTGAGGACAAACTGCTCTGCCAAACCTCCACTCCAAAACCACATACTGTGACACTGCCTGAGACATTATTCAGTATTCTAAGATCGCGATTTAAGGCGTTTACAAAAGCTCTTAAACCACTCTCTTATTCTGCATAATCCTGTTTATCAAACTGACAATTACTTTATTAATATGAAGAGTGTAAAGAATTGTAGATTGACCAGCAGCCGGATGAACAACACGAGTCTCTGCACGAGGACAGAGGTGAAATCGTGTTTGTTTATAATTAAGAAAATGCAATTTCTTAAAAACACCGTTTTTTTTTTAATGGAGTTTGGTGAGTGTCAGAAACCTACCATCCCATTCCCATAGTAATCCGCATCTGAGGAGAGACCGTGGCACCAGGGCAGCGGGAAGGCAGGAGGGGGAGGCAGGGAGGTGTTGTAGCCGCCGCCGCCGCCGATGTTGTTGTTGCTGCTGCTGTTACTGTAGCAGTTGCCGGGCAACATCACGTCCCCAAACTGCTGCTGGATGTCGTTAAACGTGTCCCCCTGCATCTGGGTGGTGTTGCACGCGCTATTAGTGGCAGGGACCGGGTACGGGGCGGTGCGCAGCTGGAGGGCTCGCGCACCACAGCTGCTGCTCGCGTCCGCTGGTGTGATGGTGGTGATGGTGGTGGCGGTGGTGGCGGCGGGAGGAGGGTCCACATAGCGAGGTGACGGGACGAAGTCTGAAAATGAGATGATAAATATTCAATAAGTAAATACACAGGTGAAATGACATCATAGGCTGCAGGTTAATTAGATTCCCCCCCAGACCCCCCTCCCCCTGACATATATATGAACCTCTCCTATATTTAAAGCAGTGTTAAAGTTAAAGAGGACCCGCTCTGGATTTACGTTGAATTTCAAATTAAAAGTTTATATATGTTCTTTTTTTTTTCTTTCTTTTTTTCTTTTTTCTTTTTTGGCCAAATCAATCTGCAGGAGCGCAGTGGACACGGTGCAGCCTCCGCGTGGGAACAGACCTCAGGATATTTAAATAGGCCTATAAGTTCAGAGAGTGATGTCATAACACCATCAGCCAACACATTTAACTGTAGCCTCGTTTATAAGTAGGGACCCTGCACTTTTGGATTGGAGCTGTCAATAGTTGACTAGGATTGCTTTTCCATGTTAGTAACGGGTCATGACTGAGGCTGCACGTGGGCTTTTCACCTTGCTTCGTTGATTTTAATCCAACTTCTTCATCTGCTTCAGTTTAGTGAGTTGGATTTGTAGTTATGTAGTTATGTAGTTATGGTTCAGGCTGGATTTTTAAGTCTGGATCTCTGCAGGAACATTTAGAGCTGCAGGTGTCTGTGATTTCTGTCAGATTCAGGTCAGGCTGGATTCACTTGCTGCTGTAGCTTCCCTGGATTTATTTAACACTGGACTTGGATGTTGTTGCTGGTTAAACTTACTTGGCAAAGTGGACGCGCAAAGATCCTGAAGCTCCAGACAAGCCTGGGATATCTGGAGGAGGAGGAGGAGGAGGAGGGATTAGATATTTTTATCAGAACATTTGACTTTGATAGTAACTTTTCCTTCATTTTCTGTTTTTTTTTCCTTCTTGCAAATATGTGTGTGTGTGTGTGTGTGTGTACTTGTGTGCACTTGTGTGTACTTGTGTGAATGCGCGTGATCGTGGCTTCGTTAAAACACGTTATTTGCTACTGGGAGGACAGTCAATCATTTACAGGGGCAGTTTACTGCTTTGCACAGTGAGTGTGTGTTTTTCTTTCTTCTGCTTTGTCTGACAGTGAAACAACAGAGTGACAGTCAGGATGTCATGGAGAGGGGGGGGGGGGCAGGTTTTTACCGTTTTGAGTTTTTTACTGTTGGCCTCGCGGGCTCTGTGCCTCTGCAGCAGCTCTTTGACAGTGGTCTTCACGCGGACGCCCTGGTACACTCTCGGCTTGTCTGTGTGAAAGAGAACATGTTTACTAAACACCGCCCACCTCAGCAGACAATAACAGACAATGACTCCTCTCCTCTCCACCCCACCGCTCAGCCCCTCCTCCACGTGCAGCCACTCCACAGTCTTTTCTTCCCTCACACTCAAAACATAAAAATCAAATGTCATCCATCTTGTTTTTTGTTTTTTGTTTCATTTTAATCGCAGTTTCTCCCTGAAATGATTCTGTCGTCACATTTCATCCTAATCAAGTGCTGAATGTGATTTTTTTTCAGGTGGAAAACGTCAGTGACAAACACACAACATGTTATAATAAACAATAAATGAGTGATTCTGTGTATTATTATTTGTGGTGCTTCAGTTTCGAAAAGTTTTGTCGGAGAAATCTGTGCGTAAAAGCGCATTTTTCACGCTCAAGCTCTGGGTGTTTTCGACCGCTTCTCCCGACCCCAGAGCCCCCCAGTCCCCCCGGCCAGGGCTCGGTCTGTTTCCTATTCCGCCGTCACTGCCCTCCTGTGTGTGCTCCGAGCTACCGAGACGCCCTCCGTCCGAGACCAGGAACAAAGGAAATCGACACAAAATGCGCCACCGTAAGTGAGTATTTTTGATCATAAACGCAGATGTGGTAGATTGAATGTTTGGCTGCTGGAACCGGGTCGATTTGGAGGGTGAAATACGCGAGGGATCGTGTGTTAAAGCTGGATAAAGGGCGCTCGGGGCGACCGCGTAAAAGGCACAAACAAAGAGCAGGAACGAGTCCGCGAAGCGATCCGTGACTAAAGACTAAAACTTCTCTTAATAAACGCTTCGAAGCGGCTGATCTGAGGCACACAGATATATTATATGAGTCGATTTCAAAGTAAAGTTTGTGTCGGTGAAGAGACTCCGCAGCTCTCCGTGAAAACAGGCAGATGTTTACGCATCTGAGCGCCATGTTCCTGCCTGCTGTCGTTCAGGAAAAGTTGGATTAGTCGAGCTTCAGTTTGATCCGATTCTTGTTTTCTGGAGGAAATTTTCACCGGCGCATTGTTTATAATTCAAACCCACTCCTCTGCGCTCTCTGCTACTTTATTAAAAAAAAACCCATGCCCCCTCTTTCGGTATGAAACAGTGAAATGTTGTGGCACTTTTACAGGGAATTCGGGCTTATTTTTCCTATAGGTGAAGCTTGATTAAGGGACGCGCAGAGAACGCCTCGTATAGGTGCGCGTAATTTAGACCCAAAGGCGTAATGTAAAGCACCAGGAGTGGCGATCCGCCTGGAAAAATGCGATTTGATAAGAGACGAAGCCTCGACTGCGAAACCTCATCTGATAAATATTCATACAGCTAAATGCTACTTCATGATTTGTCTTAAATGTGGCAAATAGTGGGCCAAAATCACACGGCAGACACATCCCACTCTAACGCGGTTACTCACAACGTCCTGTTACGCAAAGAGCAACCCGGTGTAGATACGGCAGAAATGTCAGATCCACAGTAATTATCTTTATAAAAATGTCTTTGACAATGATCGTGTACATGTCCTGACGTGTGTTAATACAAGTGATCACAAAAATGAAACATATCATGAATCTGTAAAAGTCGCTAAAGCTGAGCAGGAGAGTTTGAATGGAGAAAAGGCAACTCCTGATCCACCCAGCAACAGGGAGACAGGTGGCATTAAACTACACATTTACCACCTCAAGTTTAATTTCACTCTTTCTCTTTTTATAAATCACATAAAACTGTAATGAAATCCACATTTAAAGGAAAAAAAGCTGCTGATATTACACGTGACTCTGCTGTGTTCTCAGTTTTGACACTAAACTTTCCATTTTTCTCTTTTCTCTTTTCTGTCTAACAGGAAAAAAAGCTGCAAAATGATTTCCAGATGAAAATCCGACTTGAAACTCACCAGACATGATGACAAAGATGAAGAGAGGATCTCTGGAGAAGACCTGAGGGACTCCACAACGTCCTTTTCTGCCTCAGCAAAATGGCCAAGAACGAAATTTGTGCAAAAGTCTAAAAAAATCTCAACACAAAAGTCTTACAGCAGGGTCAGAGCATACAATAATATTGTAATATAGCTGTGAACATATTAGTTTGAGATTTTCTCCCTCCATGCCTACTATTTAAAACCCCTAGAACTCAATGATTTGACAATGATTTGATTGCGCGTTACTTTCAATTTGAATATTCAGAGGCAACGGAGTTATATCGATTTTTCAATAAAAATCACTACGCATGGACATTGTATAAGCTCCACTTTAATGTAATATATTAGTATTTTATACTTTGACCAAAAAGAAACCATACTTTTATTAATTTTATCCTCCATTTACAATATCAGGGCATCACACCCCCTCATTAAGCACTACAGCACTGGGTGCCTCATATACGCAACTTTAACGCCGTAATTCGGCTCCTATCTGCGGCCACACGTTCACTGAGGTCCCCCTTCATGCCAGCAATACTTTGAAACATATTTTTAAGCTTTTTTTCAGAGAAAAACATAAAATTGAGAGAGAAGTGGGCGTGGCAAAGGACAGCAGCCATCTTTGGCACTGCAGGCCTTCTGCAGGCTCCAGTGCTGAGCACTCACCTGCTGCAGGCTGCAGGGGGATGACTGCTGCTCCCGCTCCTCCGAACAAAACGTTTCACACACTTTTAATTCATAAAAAGCAAAATTTCATCCACAATAATGAAGATTTTCCCAGTGAAAATCAACAGTTTAATAACATGCGTATTAACATTTAAAAACAGCACCAAGTCTCCTGCATCTAAACTGTTTCACAGCTGATTTAAACTGAAATATATTTGTTTTAATCACTTATAAAAGGCTGTTTTAAGAACTGTCTGTGCATCACACAGCAGCAACACGTTCACATCAGCCTGTAAATGCTGCCATTCACTTTCAGTACGTTTTAAAATGTGGGAAAAACATTAGAAGTGATTCGTTTATTCGAAATTGCAGCAAATCACAAACAATTTGATTCATTTTTAAATGTTTCATATTAATCCAGCTGTGAACATCTGGGGCAATTAGGTCTCTGCAGCTGGTTAAATGTTTTTCATTAAATCTTAGTGTTATTATCTTTGTTGTTATGACTTTTCTAATTATATGATGTCTGTTATTAGTTACAGCAGCAGCAGAGTTACTGTCCACGCTCCATAGAGAAGACGTGACATGATCAGCAGCAGCTGCAGGTTTGTTTGGTCTCTGGTTAAATGTTACTCATTAGATCTTAGTGTTATTAATGTTGTTGTTAGCATGACTTTTCTTATTATATCAACGCTATTATTAGTTACAGCAGCAGTAGCAGATTTACTGTCCTCGGTCCGTGAAGAAAACATTAGCTGCAGGTTTCTTTGGTCTCTGGTTAAATGTTTATCATTAAATCTTAAGTTATTAATGTCGTTTTCATGACTTTTCTTAACCACTATAATGAATTACAGCAGCAGTGGCAGAGCCACAGTTTCCACTCCATCATTTAGATCAACATCAGCTGCGGGTTTGTTTCATGTTGTAACTTTAAAACTCCTGTTCTCATCTCAAACACTTCTCACTAAGTCCCTCTTGTCTCTGCCTCTCTCACTGCAACACTTCTTCATCCCTGCTCTCTGCTGCAGCCTCCTCCTCCTGCTGCAGCAGCGGTGCAGTGGCTCCACCTAGTGGTCAAACACCAGAACGTCCTCTCCCTCCGCCTCAAGTTTAACTGCTCTATAGTAAAGCCTTCCTCCATGTCTACAACTTTTATTGCTGCAACAAACATAAAATCCCTTTTGTATTAAATTCTATATATATATACACACTCACACACACACACAGTGTAAAGATGGTTGAATCAGTATTTGGCTGTACTTTGACTGCAGCTGATTTCAAGCTAAAAAGAAAATAGAAAACATGGCGCTCGCTGACAATTACAATTGTACAAATGTTGAACATGATGAAAGTGTTTTAAATAATAAAGTTGAACAGATCTGATCCATGTTTTTGTCAGTTGTTTGTTTGATAAAGTTTGATGAATAAGAAGGAATTTATCTTAAAGTATTTTGGGTTTACACTTTAACCCCCATTTTTTTCCATCTATATTAATACACTGTTAGACACTGTAGAGTAGCTGTAAACATATTCATAAGTGTTTATTAATGTTTTTGTCTATTAACTGAAGTAATCATAGTTAATGAATGTCTGATAATATATAGTTTTGATAATATGTAATCATGTGTTCTGTAGTTTCAAATACATTTGTATAATTAATACATTAAGTGCCACACCCTGTAAATTCACTCACTATGTAAACATATCATTTAAATTTAATTACATGGTTTATTACACACAATAAAATCATTGTAAGCAATATTAATAAGTGCATCTTATTTTGATATTCATATATATTAACCCAGAATAAAGCAAGTGTAAGTGATTCAGTAACATTTTTAATGGTAATAAAGACAAATAAGGAAGTGATAGATTTATGTATTTATGTATAATGAACATTCATTAAACAGTTTTAAGAGTTTTAAGTTGTGTAACAGTGTGACTTGTTATTAAATGTTTACAGTGCTGTTTGAGTGCTAAAGAGTGGGGGGGTTAAAGTAAAGTGTCAGAGGATCCAGGCCCCTCCCAACAGAATTTAATTCTATCCACAACAGCTCTTTGTTTTTTTTTTTTAATTTTTCCACATGAATGATGTCCACTCACAGACTCTGTACTAAAGTATATCTGACGAGCTCCTTTAAAAAAGAACCAATAATCTTCTTGGATGTGGATCCTGGTGTTAAATCAGTGACTCGTTTGGTGTGAAACTCGACATCTGAACTATTTATCCGTTATTTCAACCGTGTCTCTTGACGTCTCTGCTCAGGCTGGGGTCCTGTGCGTTGGCCTGTAGCTGCTGGTTTATTGGTTATATGGACAGTAAATATCAGCGTCACACTAATCTGAGATCCTACCTGTATTTTCACCTAAACACAAACATGTTAACATATTTATACTGTACATTTTACTGAATTATCATTTCATCTTTTCAGATTACCCCACACCCCACTGGTAACTGCAGAAGTGCTCACTGTGGTTCAAGAACCATGTAAGTTCATGGTCACATGGTTTTACAACAAACACTAATCCTCATATCTTACACCATGAACGAGACCGTCCTATTTTATTAACTTGACTACGTCACTAAATGTTGTTGTTGTTTATTTTCAGTTTGAGGGTTAGAGAGTTTAGAGTTATTTCTCACCCTTTTTCATATAAATTATACAAAAAGACTTTTTTTTTTGTTTTGTTTTTTTGTTTCTTAGAAATAAGCAGGGACTTCCATCTCATCAGGCTGTAATATCGACACACTGATACTCCGGAAACGCACTGAACACGTATCAACAAACACCTCTCTCGTGCTCGTTGGGTTCCTGGTTTAAGTGTCTGTGAAACCTCCAGGTGAGCCAGTCATCCGTCAGTAGGCCCTCCTGATCTCGTAGGGCGACCAGGAGTTCACCCCGTCCTCTTTTACCCAGGAGCCTTGAGCCTCGCCGGTGGGCGGGAGGCTGCCGTGGCCGTCGGCCTCCTCCGTCACCATCTTGGACACCAGGTCGCTGGCGGAGCTGCTCATGTAGGGAGGACAGGGGAAGGAGGAGGAGGGGACGGGGTAGGAGCTGCTGGTGGTTAAAGGGTGGTAGTGGGTGTCCTCCAGGGGGTGCAGCGTGTAGGGCTGGCTGCTGGACACGGAGCCCATGGAGGAGCCTCGGCTGGTGGACCGGTACTGGGAGGGGCTACCCGGGGGCTCTGGGCTGGGCATGGAGGGCGGGACGCTGACGGGGGCCAGGCTGTCCGCACAGAGAGCGTCCACCTGGGATACTGGCTCTGGAACCGACTGTTCCCACGAGTCTCTCTGAGGCAGGAAAAGAGAGGAGAGGATGAATCATTCATTCATCAGTTTCCTCTCTGACATCAGACAACACGACTTCTATTGTACTGATGAACCTACAGAGAATTTCCATGTGAATGCTCAGCTCCCCTCAGCTTTACATAGCTTTACAGGCAGTTTGTTAATCTGCAGCTTTACTGTCACACTTTTCAAACCCTGCTTCACAGTGTGCTGATAGACCGTCAGCACAGCAAGCTCTGACTGTAACTTAAACACCTGGATCCACATGTGTCAAACACCACCTCTACATAAGAGTCTAGTTCCTGTAAGGAGCCAAACGAACAGAAGCATCATCGTGTCCGTCCAGGTTTTTACATCCTGTCAGCTCAAACTCACAGAGGTCACATTTTACTTTCACTTTCCGCACACACACACACACAACACACACACCTCAACTCTGTCTCTGTCAGTGTGGACACACACATACACATAACAGAGCTACTGCTTGGTGAGTACAGCAGCTTTGATGCTTCTGTTGTCAAAGTACAACATAGTACATCTACCAATAAAACCTGACATTTAAAACTGACGTGGTGTATAATGAGCTGCTCTGTCACCATCTCATAAATATAAAAATTATATAAGAACACACTAAAGAACCAAGAAATGTGAAGCAGAACATCACTAACAGCTGTTTTAACAGTAAAAAGAGCTGAGCTGCAGCAGCAGATTTGCATTTGAGAAGTAAACTATCTGAACTCCACTGTTTTTCTGTTTTTCCCAGCATGCAGTAGGTTTTAAAAGTCAGGATTACAGGTCTATCTTTTAACAATAGTCAGGTTCACATATGAACATTAAAACAGGTTTTCTTCCTGTTCATAGAAGAGATCCCTTTATCAGTGGGAGTGATGGGAGTCTTCTGTGCAAAATGTATTCAGGAGTTTATCTTTAGTCTGAGTTAGATGGATGAAGTGGATATCTTCCACCGTTACAGCGTTTTCAGTCTAAACTTCCCCCTGTTTTTCCCTGGCCATTATTTCCTGGTTAAGCTACAGAGGAGGGACATGGACGCAAAGGACTGTGGAAGATGATCATTTCATTTGTCTGAAGTTTGAATCAGGACTGGAGTAGGTATGGGAAGAGATTTCCTAATGTCCAGTATGGACAGGAGGAATGTTTCAGTTTTAATATGGGAACATGACTATTGTCAGAGGAGACAGAGACAGAGGAGGAACCAGTGGACTTCTAACAGAGATGGTCACATTTATATTTATTCCTGGACAAATGGACAATTTATAGTCTCTTGTCCAACTTTATTTGAATGTCTCTGTGCTAATTTTACTTTAATCCAAAATACTCATGTAACCTGCAGTTCCTCTTATTTCCTGTAGGGTTCTCACTTTGCACACACACTCCTCACTTGCTAAACCAATGACGTGGTAAATGAAAAAACTTTGCTGAATCCCTGCCAGTCATGACCATGACCGTCCTTTCTCTCTTCATTTCTGTATGTCATAAACAAACACAAATCCTGATCCCCAATCCTACCAGAAACAGATGTGAGGACTCTCCACTGAAGGGGGGCAGCAGGGATGAGAGGGCCGACGAGGGCAGGAAGGACCCTCCAGAGCTGGAGAAGGTGGCAGCGCTGCGGTAATCCCCAAAGGCCTCTGGGTAGTAGCTGTCAATGAGGGAAGAGTAGCTGGTCATTGAGGAGGGATCGCAGCCCAGAGGTTTACCGCCCAGAGTGGAGGAGTAGACGTCGGGGGAAAACTGCTTGGTGGACGGACAGAAGTCTGAGTCGGAGATGAAGGGACGCCTCATGCCGTAGTAGCTGGGCAGCATGTGAGACCCTGCGGAGAACAATATAAATCAGATCCTCATCTTCCCCACAGCAGCGGTGGATGACAGTGATTATTGGCAGCCTGCTCTGTCTAACCACAGTGTTTACACCTCTCAGATTCTTGAGAGGTGCAGACAGCAGAGTCAAAATGCTGACTGGGGTCCTCCAAGTATTAAGTATAGTAATAATGATAGTGCTGATGGAGACTGTGTTGACAGAATTATGTTGCAGGCAGTGAGGAGTGAATGATGGAGATCTTTGATGTCTGCAGTTCTCACCTGGCATCTGGACAAATGAAGGTGGAGTGGTCGATCCTCCCTGTGGCACAGAAATGAGACTTTTAGTGAGCCGTGCAAACCGGGTGGTATTTTAGTTATGTGTGAAAGTGTAGATCATCAGAGGAATGGAGTGAAAGTGCTTATTTCTTTCTTACATGTAAGAATAATAATGAATAATAATGGAATTTCCCCCAATAACACCTTTTTACTTAAATTGAAAATAAACAAATAACAAATAAACATAAAATTTCAGCAAAAAAACCTCACTAAAAATACTTTAAAAAAGGACAAATACATATTTTAAAGTGACAAACTTCTTCTGACTAACATTTCAGAATATATAATAACTGCTGACATGGACTTCTTGTTTGTTACACATTTAAGAGACTCAAAGTAACGTTCAAGATCAAAGAGAAACAACTTAAATGAGGGAATTGATTTAAGAAATTTCGCCTTAAGAGTATGAATATTTCCTAGTAAAATTAGAAGGTTAACAATATTGCATAAATTGCCCAATAACACTTTTATTTCATGTTAAATTTAATTTCATAGTGTCACTTTCCATATAATCCTGCAGCCCCTGCGTCTCTCAGGCTAGCAAGTTCAACAGCTGCTAGCAGGTTTAGCTAGTTAGCTCCCGTTAGCTACAGCGACGACGTTATTCTGAATCACCCAGCTAGAGCCAAGGTCGTTATTAGGCGGGACGGTGGTCCGGACCCGGACCCGGACCCGGACCCGGATGCCGCCCTATCCGAAACCGGAGCTACAACCTAGAAATTACTGAGAATTATTTATTTCTGACGGAGTTTCTATTTTAACCGTCGTAGCTTTTCTAACCGTTGCAGCGCTTCACTGGTCACGTGATGCTACTCAGCCAATCATAGCGATTTGAGTCGGTGAGAGAAATTAGTGTTGAAAGCTTAAGTTTTTATTTAATTTTTGTAAAATTAAGCTACTTATTTTAAAATGCACGTTTTTAAATGTATTACAGCCGTTATTTTCCTTAAAATTAAAAAAATATATTCTTCTTCTTCTTATTATTATTATTAATAATTTAGAATCCTTCCCATTACATGTGGTGGTGTGAAATAAAAATGTCTTACAAGAAATTATTTTGAAAG